GAATTCTCTGGAAATTCCGGAGCCGCTGCCACCGAGCAGGAAGTCTGCAGAGACGGTGCAAGCTCAGACGTGAAGTGTTTTCTTTCCCTCAACTTGCTATTCATAATTGAAGAAATCTCGTGAACAGAGCGTGCCAAACACTAAACGAAAATTGCATTTACAGTTCCCAGGGGAGAGGGAGAGGGGCCGGTGCCAAGCCCGGGTCTGTCCTTAATAGGTCGCGGGACCGCCTTCCGCTGTGGGTTGTAACTGTGTCTAAAAAAGATGGCCACAGAGGCAGGCGCCACCTTCCCGGCCTCCCTGGACCCACAGAGCTCCCAGAGACCGAGACGGAGGCAGGGAATATCTGTGTCCAGGCACGGACACCACCTTTGCAAAAAGAAAAACACCGTTCATGATTCTCTAGAGTGAGGAAATGGGAGACGGGTCTGAAACTTGGACGCAAGCAAAGGAGGGAAGGGAATCGAAAGAGCTGTGTGGAATTGAACCCTCGGCCCTGGCACTGCCCAGACAGAGCAACACAAGCCAACAAAAATACCCGAAAACTTCCATTTTGAAATTCTTAATTCATCCAAGGTTGCTGTCGGCAGTGTGTGTGCGCGTGCACGTGCGTGTGTGTCTGTGCGCGCGCGTGTGTGTGCGCATGTGTGTGTACGTGTGTGTGCACACGCGTGTGCACGCACGTTGGGGGCCCAGGTGATGTGGAAACACTGGTCAGGAGGAGCCTGACTAGGCTCAGGGAAGACGGTTTCTTACCACGCGGCCAAGCGACTGCACGTCTTCTACTCTACCCAAGAGCAATGACCACCCCAGACCTGGACAGCGGAGCCTACGCAAGCTTCACTCACAGTGGCCCAACCGGGAAGCAACCAAGGCCTGTGTCCTCCCGTGGACAGATGGATGAACACTGTGGCCTGTTCTGACAAAGGAATACCATCCCATTTTCATAAGGAATGAGTCCCGAAGTCCTGAAAAGACACCAGAGGAGACTTAAATGCGGGTCCCAGAGGCCACAGGCCTGGGCTCCCGTTCTGGGTGAGCGTGGGAATGGCAGCGCGCCTGAGGAGGCGGTACTGTGGGCTTTGAGGTCAGAGTGAGGGCTCAGAGCACAGAGGGCGCTCGGGAGGGAGGACCAGGTCTGTACGCGCCGTGGTGGACGCTCGGGAGGGAGGACCAGGTTTGTACGCGCTGAGGTGGATGCTCGGGAGGGGGACCAGGTCTGTACGCACCGTGGTGGGTGCTCGGGAGGGAGGACCAGGTCTGTACGCGCTGAGGTGGATGCTCGGGAGGGAGGACCAGGTCTGTATGCACCGTGGTGGATGCTCGGGAGGGAGCACCAGGTCTGTATGCACCGTGGTGGATGCTCGGGAGGGCGGACCAGGTCTGTATGCACCGTGGTGGATGCTCGGGAGGGCGGACCAGGTCTGTACGCGCTGTGGTGGATGCTCGGGAGGGCGGACCAGGTCTGTACGCGCTGAGGTGGATGCTCGGGACGGAGGACCAGGTCTGTATGCACCGTGGTGGATGCTCGGGACGGAGGACCAGGTCTGTACGCGCCGAGGTGGATGCTCGGGGGGGAGGATCAGGTCTGTACGCGCTGAGGTGGATGCTCGGGACGGAGGATCAGGTCTGTATGCACCGTGGTGGATGCTCGGGACTGAGGACCAGGTCTGTACGCGCTGTGGTGGATGCTCGGGAGGGAGGACCAGGTCTGTATGCGCCGTGGTGGATGCTCGGGGGGGAGGACAGGTCTGTATGCGCCGTGGTGGGCGCTCGGGGGGGAGGACCAGGTCTGTATGCGCCGTGGTGGGCGCTCGGGGGGGGAGGACCAGGTCTGTACGTGCCGTGGTGGATGCTCGGGAGGGAGGACCAGGTCTGTACACGCTGAGGTGGATGCTCGGGAGGGAGGACCAGGTCTGTATGCGCCGTGGTGGATGCTCGGGGGTGAGGACCAGGTCTGTATGCGCCGTGGTGGGCGCTCGGGGGGGAGGACCAGGTCTGTACGCACCGTGGTGCGGAGGCTGTGGCTGGATGCACGTCTGCCCCCGCTGGGTGGCGTCTCCAGTGTGTCCTCGGGTACACTGTGGCCGGGGAGCCGGGGGGCGGGGGGGTGGCGGCAGTCGGGAGCTGTGTGAGAAACGCCGTCCGTTCCCGGGAATGGCTCATAAAAAGTAACTGTTACTGATGAAAAGACATCACGTCTCCGAACCACTAGGAACACAAACCTGTGTCTTGCCAAATGAAAGAGGGCTCTTTTTTGGAATCAGGGCACCAGGGATTAACTTCTGTGTGACATCATTTGACACCAGAATTCCCGGTGCCTTTTTACATGTATATTTAAACTAAATATAATTCAATAACGTGCTTATTATGGCTCCGACTGCCAGTCACTTTGACAAGTACTATTGAGGCATATTAATCTTAAAATACACCGATCGGAGATGCTGGATCATCTTTATTCATGAAATCATGTTCCCAGAGACCGTCTGGATTTCACTCACGCGATTCACGCGGCGTGGCGTGGCGTCTGGCCCCACACCGAATTCTCCGCCTCTCTTCCGGAACATGCTAAGGTGCCCGCCGTGGTGCGTGTGCAGTGAGCTGTTCCCATGGCTTCACGGTCTGAACTCGGAGCGCCTCAGCAGGCCATGCGCTGCTAGCCCATTACACACTCCTCCCAGGACAGTTAACAACTATTTTAGTGGCCTTATCTATCAAAAGAAGAAACCCTACTCCAGCAGGGATGCCCTGGTGTCTGAGAGACAAGAGGGCGCGGGAGAGGCGGGCCATCTCCCCACGTCCGAGCCCTGAACACCGCACTCTTGGGAAACGTAGCGTCATGGAGGCTCCTTAGTTCCTTTTATCATTCTTCTCCCTTCTTGTCTTTTGTCTGGGGACGGAGTCTCCCTGTGTCCCGCAGGCTGGCCGTCCTGCATCCGTCTCCCAGGGCCGAGACCGTAGGCACGCGCGATCTGTGATTTCTCTCTTGATCAGGTGATAACATTTGCCCGGTTTCTCATTCTACGTTAATTTACATATACAGCAGATGCTCGTTTTCATAGCTAGGTAAAAGGAAAGTTCCAGAGGTCTAGGCTGTCGAGGGAAACCACAAAGCTAGGACGCGTCTCGGGGCAGCTCCGGGCCTCAGGGGCCTGGCATAGAGGGAGGTGTACGGGCACCGTGGGCACCGCGGGCACCGCGGCCCGGAAGCCAGTGTCTCCTCCCAGGTCCACGGCGCCGGGGCCCCGCGGGCACAGCCTGGCCACCCCGGGAGACGAGGAAAGAGATCCCAGGCCCCTGCTCTGGGTGGGCCGTGGGTCCGGACCCGAGTCCTGGGGCGGTAGAAGCGGTCCCCGTCGGCCGGGCACCTCCCGGAGCGCCTCCGGCTGCCGTGACCGTGCGTGTGCGTGTGCGTGGCTGCACGCCGTGTGTCCACGCAGGCCGTCACACCGCGTGCCACGCGACGTCACGCTCTGGGTTCCAGGAAGGTCGGGTTTCCGGAGGGGACTCCAGAAGCTCAGAGAAGGGCCTGTCTCTGCCGCCCTGGTGGCCGGCTGGGGTCCCCTCCCCAGGAGGGCGCGTTGGAGGGAAGGCCACCCGTCCCCACGCAGGGCGGTCTACGACCCCAACGCGCTCATTTCAAGCTCCTGCTTGTCATTTGATCGAATAAGCACATCCCCTCCCCCCAAAAAGTACAAAGTGCTCGGCAAATACAGATGCACTTTAGCACATTTATAAGCCCGGCTTCTATGGCTTTATTTAGAGGATAATTCTCACACTTTTCTTTTCTTACACCCACCCAAAGGAACATGCATAATAAGTGAAGCAGGCTTGGCAGGAACTCCACCAATAAGGTTAATTTGAAGTGTAGGCAGAACAGAAACTCTCCAGATGGCCACCAAGGGGTTTGTTCTTGCTTCAGACCGGCTGATTTCCAAACCACTGACTTGGCCTCTTGGAAGGAACCAGAGAGCAGGAAGTCCCAGGCCTGACCTCTGAACTCAGTCTCGGCATCAGCTGATGTGAGAGGCAGCCACCAGGGTTAAACCCTGGCAGTGTCCTCATGGCTCTACAGCGTTGGGTGAGAAGTTGCACCTGCCTCAGTTTCCCCGCTGTGACGCAGCACTGTGTGGAATTGTGCCTTGTCTACGTGGTTGCAAAGTTAGGTGATCGTGAGAAACGTTCGCCATGGAGCCTGGTATTATACTTATGAACAATATGGAAGCTCTTATGAAGTGCTTCGAGCCTGATTTTTGGACAGCGTAAGTCTGAATCGTAGCGGGAGGTGTCCCTTCAGGCACGGATGACCCTCAAAGAAGTGAGGCCTGCGGAAATGGCCAGCATGTTTGATTTCTTCCACATGAATGAAATTGCTTCTCTCCAGGGCTTTTTCCTCTCCGGACCTACATTTCCACACCCTGTGGGGCCCAGGGGCCTTCCGGATGATTCCTCAGGAAGTTAAGTGTGATGTGCAGCCAAGACGGGCATCTGGGGAGACAGAGGCTTCGGTGCCTCTGGTGTCAGTTGTGAATGTTTGCTCTCCAGGGCTGGTGTTGGGTGATGCCATGCGGTCTCCGCCATCCCTGAGCACAGGGCGCCGCGGTGTTGGCTGGGGCTGGGCCATGCCCTGGCAGCCGCCGCACGGGGCGCGGGCAGCCATTTCCCCACAGGGGTGGGTGTCGCGCGGCCCGGCACTGACGCCAAGCAGGGCTCCCCGCGGGGCCCACACGCCTCCCAGCAGCCCTCAGCCAGCTGGCTCCGGATCCAGCACAGCGCCACGGAACACGAGCCTCGCCCGGCCCCGCCGCGTGGGGTGTAGGGCGCGTCTCCAGAAACGGAGAGGAGGGGAATGGTTCCTCTGTGCCTGCTGGGCCTCGGTGGGGGGGGGAGGCAATCTGCCCCACCTCCTTGTCTCTCACTCTGCGCTCTGGGGTGGGGAGTGAGGGCAGACAAGTGCTGGGAAAGGGGGGAGGTCACAGACAGGAGTCTCTGGTTTCCCCTCAGAGCCACCAAAAAGCACACTGGAGGCCGACGTGTGCTGGAGATGATGGAGGCAGGGGTGTGCTGGGGATGATGGAGGCAGGGGTGTGCTGGAGATGATGGCGGCTGGGGTGTGCTGGAGGTGATGGAGGTGGGGTGTGCTGGGATGGTGGAGGCTGGGGTGTGCTGGGGATGGTGGAGGCCGACGTGTGCTGGAGATGATGGAGGCAGGGGTGTGCTGGGGATGATGGAGGCAGGGGTGTGCTGGAGATGATGGAGGCAGGGGGTGTGCTGGAGGTGGTGGAGGCAGGGGTGTGCTGGGGATGATGGCGGCTGGGGTGTGCTGGGGATGATGGAGGTAGGGTGTGCTGGAGGTGATGGCGGCTGGGGTGTGCTGGGGATGATGGAGGCAGGGGGTGTGCTGGGGATGATGGAGGCAGGGGTGTGCTGGGGATGGTGGAGGCAGGGGTGTGCTGGAGATGATGGCGGCTGGGGTGTGCTGGAGGTGATGGAGACAGGGGGTGTGCTGGGGATGATGGAGGCTGGGGTGTGCTGGGGATGATGGAGGCAGGGGTGTGCTGGGGATGGTGGAGGCAGGGGTGTGCTGGAGATGATGGAGGCAGGGGTGTGCTGGAGGTGATGGCGGCTGGGGTGTGCTGGGGATGATGGAGGCAGGGGTGTGCTGGGGATGATGGAGGCAGGGGTGTGCTGGGGATGGTGGAGGCAGGGGTGTGCTGGAGATGATGGCGGCTGGGGTGTGCTGGAGGTGATGGAGGTGGGGTGTGCTGGGATGGTGGAGGCTGGGGTGTGCTGGGGATGGTGGAGGCCGACGTGTGCTGGAGATGATGGAGGCAGGGGTGTGCTGGGGATGATGGAGGCAGGGGGTGTGCTGGAGATGATGGAGGCAGGGGGTGTGCTGGAGGTGGTGGAGGCAGGGGTGTGCTGGGGATGATGGCGGCTGGGGTGTGCTGGGGATGATGGAGGCAGGGTGTGCTGGAGGTGATGGCGGCTGGGGTGTGCTGGGGATGATGGAGGCAGGGGTGTGCTGGAGATGATGGCGGCTGGGGTGTGCTGGAGGTGATGGAGGTGGGGTGTGCTGGGATGGTGGAGGCTGGGGTGTGCTGGGGATGGTGGAGGCCGACGTGTGCTGGAGATGATGGAGGCAGGGGTGTGCTGGGGATGATGGAGGCAGGGGTGTGCTGGAGATGATGGAGGCAGGGGGTGTGCTGGAGGTGGTGGAGGCAGGGGTGTGCTGGGGATGATGGCGGCTGGGGTGTGCTGGGGATGATGGAGGTAGGGTGTGCTGGAGGTGATGGCGGCTGGGGTGTGCTGGGGATGATGGAGGCAGGGGGTGTGCTGGGGATGATGGAGGCAGGGGTGTGCTGGGGATGGTGGAGGCAGGGGTGTGCTGGAGATGATGGCGGCTGGGGTGTGCTGGAGGTGATGGAGACAGGGGGTGTGCTGGGGATGATGGAGGCTGGGGTGTGCTGGGGATGATGGAGGCAGGGGTGTGCTGGGGATGGTGGAGGCAGGGGTGTGCTGGAGATGATGGAGGCAGGGGTGTGCTGGAGGTGATGGCGGCTGGGGTGTGCTGGGGATGATGGAGGCAGGGGTGTGCTGGGGATGATGGAGGCAGGGGTGTGCTGGGGATGGTGGAGGCAGGGGTGTGCTGGAGATGATGGCGGCTGGGGTGTGCTGGAGGTGATGGAGGTGGGGTGTGCTGGGATGGTGGAGGCTGGGGTGTGCTGGGGATGGTGGAGGCCGACGTGTGCTGGAGATGATGGAGGCAGGGGTGTGCTGGGGATGATGGAGGCAGGGGGTGTGCTGGAGATGATGGAGGCAGGGGGTGTGCTGGAGGTGGTGGAGGCAGGGGTGTGCTGGGGATGATGGCGGCTGGGGTGTGCTGGGGATGATGGAGGCAGGGTGTGCTGGAGGTGATGGCGGCTGGGGTGTGCTGGGGATGATGGAGGCAGGGGGTGTGCTGGGGATGATGGAGGCAGGGGTGTGCTGGGGATGGTGGAGGCAGGGGTGTGCTGGAGATGATGGCGGCTGGGGTGTGCTGGAGGTGATGGAGGCAGGGGGTGTGCTGGGGATGATGGAGGCTGGGGTGTGCTGGGGATGATGGAGGCTGGGGTGTGCTGGAGATGATGGAGGCAGGGGGTGTGCTGGAGATGATGGAGGCAGGGGTGTGTTGGAGATGATGGAGGCTGGGGTGTGTTGGAGATGATGGAGGCTGGAGTGTGCTGGGGATGGTGGAGGCTGGGGTGTGCTGGGGATGATGGAGGCTGGGGTGTGCTGGAGATGATGGAGGCAGGGGGTGTGCTGGAGATGATGGAGGCAGGGGTGTGTTGGAGATGATGGAGGCTGGGGTGTGTTGGAGATGATGGAGGCTGGGGGTGTGCTGGAGGTGATGGAGGCAGGGGTGTGCTGGGGATGGTGGAGGCTGGGGTGTGCTGGGGATGATGGAGGTGGGGTGTGCTGGGATGGTGGAGGCTGGGGTGTGCTGGGGATGATGGAGGCTGGGGTGTGCTGGGGATGGTGGAGGCTGGGGTGTGCTGGAAGCGATGGAGGCAGGGGGTGTGCTGGAGATGATGGAGGCTGGGGTGTGCTGGAGGTGATGGAGGCTGGGGTGTGCTGGGGATGATGGAGGCTGGGGTGTGCTGGAGATGATGGAGGCAGGGGTGTGTTGGAGATGATGGAGGCTGGGGTGTGTTGGAGATGATGGAGGCTGGGGTGTGCTGGAGATGATGGAGGCAGGGGTGTGCTGGAGGTGATGGAGGCAGGGGGTGTGCTGGGGATGATGGAGGCTGGGGTGTGCTGGGGATGATGGAGGCTGGGGTGTGCTGGAGATGATGGAGGCAGGGGGTGTGCTGGAGATGATGGAGGCAGGGGGTGTTGGAGATGATGGAGGCTGGGGGGTGTTGGAGGTGATGGAGGCTGGGGGGGTGTGCTGGAGATGATGGAGGCAGGGGTGTGCTGGGGATGGTGGAGGCTGGGGTGTGCTGGAGGTGATGGAGGCTGGGGTGTGCTGGGGATGATGGAGGTGGGGTATGCTGGGGATAGTGGAGGCTGGGGTGTGCTGGAGATGATGGAGGCTGGAGTGTGCTGGGGATGGTGGAGACTGGGGTGTGCTGGAAGTGATGGAGGCAGGGGTGTGCTGGGGATGATGGAGGCAGGGGTGTGTTGGGGATGATGGAGGCAGGGGTGTGCTGGGGATGATATAGGCTGGGGTTGCTGGAGATGATGGAGGCTGGAGTGTGCTGGGGATAGTGGAGGCTGGGGTGTGCTGGAGATGATGGAGGCAGGGGTGTGCTGGGGATGATGGAGGCAGGGGTGTGTTGGGGATGATGGAGGCAGGGGTGTGCTGGGGATGATATAGGCTGGGGTTGCTGGAGATGATGGAGGCTGGAGTGTGCTGGGGATGGTGGAGACTGGGGTGTGCTGGGGATGATGGAGGCTGGGTGTGCTGGAGATGATGGAGGCTGGGGTGTGCTGGGGATGATGGAGGCGGGGTATGCTGGAGATGGTGGAGGCTGGGGTGTGTTGGAGATGATGGAGGCCAAGGTTGGTGAAGAAGAATGAAACTCTCTTCCATGGAAAACCAAGGGGTGGTGAAGCCGGACATGGAGCCGACAGGAATGAAGGAGACTGGCTTCCATGGTGGACCGCCAGCACTGTCCGGGGCCAAGCGCGGCGGCCGCTCCCCGGGCTGGCACTACCACTGGAGCCGAGCTTGGATGCGTGCGACGTCAATATTATTAGGCACTTTCTGAAATTACCAGTTACACTGGGTTGGATGAATGCTCCTAAATGCAATTAAGAATGTATTCGATGTGAACGTCATGGACGAGCTAAGATAAACACTCATTATCTTGTCCCTCCAGGAGAACTACAACACGCTCAACACACTGGGAGCCCTGGCACACTTGTCAGCGTTATGGGGATAAACAAGGAGGAAAGCGGGAGCTCCCCAGCGGCCCCCACACCCAGCCCTCCATCGGCGTGGAGCCCCCGATGAGCAAGCAGTGTGGAGCTTGAGGCAATGCAGCCTCCCGCCCGGTTCCAAATGCAACCCCCTCCCCCCAAAAGTAAAGCAGATGCCTCTCCATGGCCCCCTGGGACGCGGTGCGGGCATGCCTGCCGGGGAGAGGCCGGTGCCGGAGGATGAGGCCTGGGCTCCTAATGAGCCGACCCTCAGGACCAGGCTCCGGACATTCCTCCACGTGTCTGTGGAGAGGACTGACCGCCGTGTCTGGCGCGTTACCTGGGGATCCTGACGCTCAGCACGCCCACAGGATGTCCTCTACGGTGCCTGGCAGGGCACTGCAATCCCAGTGCCCAGGAAGCCGAGGCAGGAGGGAGGAGGGTCGAGAGCTCCGGCATGAGCCACGCGGTGAGACTCTGTCAGAGGAGGAGGTGGCGGGGGGGGGGGGGGGAGGGAAGGAGGGAGGGAAGGAGGGAGGGAGGGAGGGAGGGAGGAAGGGGACAAGAAGAGAAGAGAAAAATGAAGGAAAAGTTACTCTCTGGCCCCTGTTGTCTCTAAGTCTACAAGCTGAGTTCCTGCCGGACCCCTGGACCAGGCTTTCAAAGCTAAGCCTTCTCAGTGACCCCTAACCTGTCCGTGAGGTGAGCCGTAGCATCCTCTCCACCTTATAGCGTAAAAATGTGCATCCGTTTTCCAACAAGCATTTATTTATTTTTTTATGGGCTCAATTTTAATGCAACATGATATAGTACAGAATGAGTAGTTACTCTATACTGTAGAACCTAGTACAAAAATAAGTGATAGAAATAATGAAATATAAAGACATTACAATATTTAAGGTTTGAGACCATCCTATATTAGTAGCTTTATTTGGTGCTTTGCAGAAAGACTCTCCCAACTCCTGAAGAAGTTATTTGAAACCCAAGAATCTGGCGACCTCAATGAAGAATTAGTTAAGGCTGCTGCCAATGGAGATGTTGCTAAAGTGGAAGATTTGCTAAAAAGACCAGATATGGATGTGAGCATTTAAAAAATTATTTTGAGACATTAACAGTCTAGTATAAATGAACCTTATATTTAGTAGTTACTAAGGTGTTCTACTGTCCATGCCAACAAGCGTTTATTATGAGCCAGTAACACGCTGGCCTCCGAGTCAAAGCGATTCCTGAAGGTCAAGGATCTTCACTGAAGCGAGACGGAGTCTGGGCGGAGCCGCGCCACCTGGTCCTGGTCCCGGTGTCCCTGCCGCCGCTGCCTGCCGGGTCCGGCTCAGGGCAGGGCTCAGCTGTCTGCGGCATGGGTGCTGCCTGCCGGGTCCGGCTCAGGGCAGGGCTCAGCTGTCTGCGGCATGGGCGCTGCCTGCCGTCCAGCTCAGGGCAGGGCTCAGTTGTCTGCGGAGGGGGCGCTGCCTGCCGGGTCCGGCTCAGGGCAGGGCTCAGCTGTCTGCGGCACAGGCCTGCGCTGGCATGTGTGGGGGGGGGAGGTCCAGTGCCGTCCTGCAGGAGCACCTCCTGCCAGGGCCTCCCGAGGGCGGCCATGACTTGCAGAAGCTGGTGGCGGGCGGCACGTCTCCAGCGCTGGAGCCCAGCCGGCTGGCAGCCTGGCAAGCACAGAGGACCCATCTTCCCAAGTATATTTAGCTCCGACTGCGTCACAGACCAGCTGCACATGGAAACACACTGGCTGCGTCCAAAGCGCTGAGATCCACGGGGACGGAGCAGGGAGCGGCCCCAAGTCCCACAGCCATCAGCACCCACAGACGACACCAGACGCGCATCGGCGCTTCCCACCTGGCGTTCCCTACCAGAGAGCATGGACCCCGCTGACCACACGCTGGGGGGGTCCCCACCCACAGACGCCTGCCCACCGACTCCGGGCCTCTGTCCACCGACTCCGGGCCTCTGTCCACCGACTCCGGGGTCTCTGTCCACCGACTCCGGGCCTCTGTCCACCGACTCCGGGGTCTCTGTCCACCGACTCCGGGCCTCTGTCCACTGACTCCGGGCCTCTGCCCACCGACTCCGGGCCTCTGCCCACCGACTCCGGGGCCTCTGTCCACCGACTCCCGGGCCTCTGCCCACCGACTCCCGGGCCTCTGTCCACCGACTCCTGGGCCTCTGTCCACCGACTCCACGCCTCTGTCCACCGACTCCGGGCCTCTGTCCACTGACTCCGGGGCCTCTGTCCACTGACTCCGGGGCCTCTGTCCACCGACTCCGGGGTCTCTGTCCACCGACTCCAGGGCCTCTGTCCACCGACTCCGGGGTCTCTGTCCACCGACTCCAGGGCCTCTGTCCACCGACTCCGGGGCCTCTGTCCACCGACTCCGGGGTCTCTGTCCACCGACTCCCGGGCCTCTGTCCACCGACTCCGGGGTCTCTGTCCACCGACTCCGGGGCCTCTGTCCACCGACTCCGGGGTCTCTGTCCACCGACTCCGGGGCCTCTGTCCGCTGATTCTTTTGGCCCTGCCTCACACACAGCCAGGTCCTCTGCCGGCCTCAACATCGCAATCATCTGAACGGCAGAAGCTTGTTTGCGCAGAGGCTGGCGTCACCCTACAGCTTCCTGTCCTGCCCATGCCCGGGGGAGGGGCTGATTCTGTCCATGTAAAGGGACTGGTTCTGGATGATTCCAAACAGGATGTTAACGGTGCTGAGTAGGGGCCTAGGGATTGGGGCTGCTGGGCTGTGGTGTGGATCCAACTCAAGATGACTCTGCTTTCTGCTTTCTGTGCCATGGGGGGGTGGGGGTAAGGGGTGGGATCGGCTCAGCCTCCACCCTCTCCTCCTCAGCCTCTGTCCCCTCTCCTCCTCAGCCTCTGTCCCCTCTCCTCCTCAGCCTCTGTCCCCTCTCCTCCTCAGCCTCTGTCCCCTCTCCTCCTCAGCCTCCACCTCTCCTCCTTCTCAGCCTCTGTCCCCTCTCCTCCTCAGCCTCCACCCTCTCTCCTTAGCCTCCACCCTCTCTCCTCCTCCTCAGCCTCCATCCTCTCTCCTCCTCCTCAGCCTCCACCCTCTCTCCTCCTCCTCAGCCTCCACCCTCTCTCCTCCTCAGCCTCCACCCTCTCTCCTCCTCCTCAGCCTCCACCCTCTCTCCTCCTCAGCCTCCACCCTCTCTCCTCCTCCTCAGCCTCCACCCTCTCTCCTCCTCAGCCTCCACCCTCTCTCCTCCTCAGCCTCCACCCTCTCTCCTCCTCCTCAGCCTCTACCCTCTCTCCTCCTCCTCAGCCTCCACCCTCTCTCCTCCTCAGCCTCCACCCTCTCTCCTCCTCCTCAGCCTCCACCCTCTCTCCTCCTCGGCCTCCATCCCCTGGCTCCAGGGTCTGACTGCTTGGTACGGTGGCTCTGACCGTGGTTAAGCCCTGCGTGGCCCTGGGCTCCCTCCCCCAGGCCGGGGCGGCCCGGCCCTGCGCTCGCAGGTCCCCTCCACACTGCCGCCTACTCTTCCGCCAGCAGTCCTTTCACTGAGGGCTCTTAACGGGAACCTTCCGGAGGTGGCGTTTTGCTCTCTGCCAGGACGCTGACTGGGAGAGGTGGGAACACACTGTTCAGTGCATGCGCTTTAGTGCTCCTCATTACTTTTCCGTGTGCTTGTAATATCGGTCCAAAATGCAAATATGAAGAATGAACCCAGCCGTGAAAAGTCCACCCCAAGCCATCTAGGACAAGAAGTTCCGAGAGCGCTGGCCGCGTGAGCGCCTCGCCGCTTCCTCTTTGGCTTTCATCTCGTGCCAAGAACGAGTTGGTCTTGTGTTTCGCTCCGTGTCTGGAGGCCAAGGAGGGTGTGGGTCAGCAGTGCGGGTCGGATCCATGCTGCCCGAGAGCCTGGGCTCCACCGACCCGACACAGACACGCCAGGACGCTTGCACCACTCAGAACGAGGTGGTGTTCGGACGCGGCCTCCCGGGCAGCTGGAAGATGGACACTCCTCCTGCCGGAGGCTTGCCTGTGTGCACGCTCCTCCTCGCCCTACGCCGCCCGGGCCGGAGCCACACGAGACGCGAAGGCGTGGAGGACGCAAGCATCTTGGGTAGATTTTGAACGCCCAGCATAGACTCGGCAAGAGCGGCGGTTTAACGTGGGGGCCGCCACATGGGGCGGCTGTACCACAGCCCTCCGTGATCCACAGCGAGACTCACGCCGTCGGCAAGGAGGGGAAGCGGCCTGCGACCCCCGGGCGCCGGGTGGCTCCCGGCAGCTTTGGGCTCAGGCGTGGAGGGCGGGCGGCAGGGTCTGTCCCTGCAGGGCCCTACCAGCACCTTCCCCATGGCCTCCTCACCCCTGCGGGGGCGCACACACATACACATGCGCACACACACACACACACACACACACGCACCCTGGGCCTCCCCCCCCAGCACACACAGCAGCTCTCCCTCCCACCCTTGCAGCCGGCCTGAGCATGTGGCACCTGTACTCCGGCTCCTTTCCCGTGCTCTCCGGTCTCTGCCGTGGGTACGGAGCCCCAGGGCCTCCTCGTCCTGGCCTCCCCGGAGCACCTCCCTGGGAGCTGGGACCCGAGCCTGGCTCTCTGTCCATCTTGTCCTGAATCCACGCTCTTAACCCTCACAGAAGCCAGGGCACGGGGAAAGGTGGGGTTCTCAGCCCACACAGCCAGGCTGTGCCCGCCCGTCCAGGACGGAGCCCACCTCGGGTCTGGGTGCCGCAGCTCCGGG